AAGGGCTTGACGTCCGAGACGAGGACGAGCTGGTCAGAGGTGAACCTGTAGAGGAACTTGTTGAAGTTAACATTGATCCCACCAACCCAATCAAAATCGCCAAGATTGGCAGCCAATTACCTTCCCAAGTCAAGGCCAACCTTACTGCTCTCTTGACCGAGCACAGAGATGTATTCGCCTGGACCCATTTTGACATGCCAGGCATCAACCCCTCCCTCATAACCCATCGCCTCAGCATCGAACCCCACTTTCGACCCCACCGCCAGAAGCAACGCATTTTCCATCCGGAGCGCAACACCCTTATAGCTGCCGAAGTTGACAAACTCCTTGAGGCCCAATTCATCAAAAATGTGGACTATCCTAGGTGGTTGTCCAACGTGGTCCTCATCCGCAAACACAATGGCAAATGGCGACTCTGTGTCGACTAATCTGACCTAAACCGAGCTTGTCCCAAAGACAGTTACCCCCTTCCCCGCATAGATCTACTGGTCGACGCCACGGCCGGTCATCAAATGCTCAGCTTCATGGATGCCTTCTCTGGGTACAACCAAATCCTGATGCACACATCTGACCAGGAGCACACATCATTTATTACCGACCGAGGTACCTACCACTACTGTGTAATGCCGTTCGGATTGAAGAATGCTGGGGCCACTTATCAGCGGCTGGTTAACGCCGTTTTCCATCACCAAATAGGTCGGAATATGGAAGTCTACGTCGACGACATGCTAGTCAAAAGCAAATACTCCTCCGATCACCTTACTGATTTATGTGAGACCTTCGCCACCTTGCGCAAGTACCAGATGAAGCTCAACCCAGAGAAGTGCGCCTTCGGCGTAGGGTCTGGCAAATTTTTGGGCTTTATGGTCAGTCAACGCGGCATCGAAGCTAACCCTGAGAAGATCAAGGCCTTGGTTGAGATGCAGTCGCCTAGGACGGTCAAAGAGGTTCAGAGACTCACCGGCCGAGTGGCGGCCCTCAACCGCTTCATCTCCCGTGCGACAGATAAGTGCTTGCCCTTCTTCAAAGTTCTTCGGCAAACTTTTGAATGGACAACTGAATCCGAAGAGGCCTTCCAACAGTTAAAGCAATGTATGGCCAACCCCCCCTTCTCTCCCAAGCAATCACGGGCGAACCACTCTTTCTCTACCTAGTAGTATCGGGAACCGCAGTCAGTGCAGCTCTCCTCAGAGAAGATGGCTCAATCCAACGGCCGGTCTATTACATCAGTCGGGCTCTCAGGGGCGCCGAGCAGAACTACCCCCTGCTGGAAAAACTGTCCCTGGCCTTGGTCATTGCCTCCAGACAACTCCGCCCATACTTCCAAACCCACTCCATAGTGGTCCTCACCGACCAGCCCCTGAAGAAGGTCATGCAGCAACCAGAACTCTCAGGTAGACTGATGCAGTGGTCCGTAGAACTCAGCTAGTTCGACATCTCTTACCGCCTCCGGACAGCAATCAAGGGGCAGGCTGTAGCTGATTTCATCATGGAGTTCACCAAGCCGACCCCGACCACTACACCCCCGCCCCTACCAACTCCAACAGAGCCAGAAGATCCCCATTCTTGGACTCTTAATGTCGACGGTTCGTCCCGAAGAGAAGGAAGCGGTGCCAGCCTCATCCTCACCTCCCCTGAGGGCGGCTACTTCAAATGTGCCCTCCGTTTCTTATTTGAAGCAAGCAACAATGAAGCCGAGTACGAGGCATTAATAACAGGACTCCACCTTGCCAAGGACATAGGGGTCAGCCACCTCCGAGTATTTAGCGACTCCCAACTCGTCGTCGGTCAGATGACGGGGGACTTTGATGCCAGGGACGACACGATGCGAGCTTACAGAGACCTGGCACTCCCCCTTGCTCGCCTCTTCAATACCTTCCACATCAGGCACATTCCTCGGGCGGAAAACTCCAAAGCAGATGAGATGGCTCAGTTGGCCTCTGCTAACCATCCTACTCTTAGCCATGATGTCCGCGTCGAATATCTACACCACCCGCCCGTTTCACCCGATCTGCAAGCCGTACAATACATCCAAAATGAACCCATCCCTTGGGCATCGGACATTCTCCTATTCTTGACCACATGAGCACTCCCAGATGACCAGCAGCAGGCTGCCAAAGTCCGATCCCGAGCGTCCAATTACGTCATTGTCGACGGTATATTGTACAAGCGCGGTTTCTCCCGGCCATATCTACGCTGCCTCAATCCAGCGCAAGCAACTTATGTAATGCAGGAGATCCATGAGGGAATTTGTGGTAATCACTCAGGTGGTAGGTCCCTTGCCCAGAAGATACTCCGCACTGGGTACTTTTGGCCAACTGTCAACCAGGATGCGACCGACTTCGTGCTCAGATGCGATAAATGTCAACGCTTCGCCAACATCCCTCATGCTCCTCCTACAGAGTTAATCACACTCTGCAGCCCTTATCCATTTGCCAAGTGGGGGATCGACCTGGTTGGTTCGCTTCTCACCGGTCGAGGTCAAACCAAGTTCGCGATTGTTGCCATTGATTACTTCACCAAGTGGGTCGAGGCTGAACCCCTTGCCACAATCACCGAGCGAAACACTACCAGGTTTATCTGGCAATCGATCATTTGCCGATTTGGCATCCCTCAAGCCATCATCTCTTACAATGGCAAACAATTCGATAATGCGAAGTACAGAACATTTTGTGAAGATCTCCAGATTCAACCGTGCTTTTCCTCCCCCGGTCACCCCCAAGCAAACGGCTAAGTTGAGGTCACCAACCGTTCCCTTCTGAAAATCATCAAAACCAAGCTCGAAGCTGCTAAAGGCCTTTGGGCTGAGGAACTACCAAATGTACTCTGGGCTTACCGAACCACTGCTCGCACTCCCACTGGTGAGACCCCTTTTCGCTTAACGTATGGCGCTGAGGCGGTTATTCCGGTAGAAGTCGGTTTGCCCACTCCCAGGGTTTTACATCTGGATCTGGCCGCAGCCGAAGAACTCCATCGAACAGACTTGGACCTCGTCGAAGAACTCAGAGAGACCGCTGCTGTCAGATTGGCTTCGTACCAGCAGAAAATGAGAACACACTACAACCGCCGAGTTCGACCACGAGAGTTCTCCGTAGGGGACCTTGTCTTACGAGAAGTGACTCTTGCCACAAAGAATCCAACCGAGGGCAAACTGGCAGCCAAATGGGAGGGGCCCTACGTTGTGAAAGCCCGACCACGACCAGGCACTTACCGACTTCAAGACATGGAAGGCCGAGACCTACCCCATCCCTGGAATGCAGAACATTTGAAGCGTTACTACCAATAAGTCCATACTTTTGTATTGTCAACATTGTTGTATTCCCCTTTCCATACATAATGTAAATCCCGACTGATGGCCTCGGTTTTCGTAATTCAATTGTTTCTATGTGGCCCCAATAACTTTTCCACTTCCAGCACTTCAAAAGCCTCAGCCAGACCGAGCACTTCAAAAGCCTCGGCCAGCGACGCACTTCAACAGGCCTCAGCCAGACGAGCACTTCAAAGCCTCGGCCAACGACACTCAAAGGCCATCGCCACACGGCTTTCAAAGCCTCGGCCAGCTACGAGCACCTTCAAAAGCCGGCCAGCCAACACTACAAGCCCAGACGCGGGAGCCTTCAAAACCTCGGCCAGACCCGAGCAACTCAAAGCCTCGGCCAGACCGAGGCACTTCAAAAAGCTCTGGCCAGACCGGGCAACTTAAAGCCTTAGCTCCAAACACTGACGCACCTTGTAAAGTCCTCGGACCAGACTCGAGCCTCAAACGTCAGCAATGAGCCATTCACAGATCCTCAGCCACTCTGAACACACGCCAGCAGCTCGCACAAGCAACAGATCACATTTTAACAACTATAGTCACATTCTGAGCTTCTTCACACTCCAGGTACCGACGCTTTTTACCTATGATAAATCTCCCCCACATACTTCACGCTATTTCATTCACTGATCAGATTATTTGCCAACTTTGTTCAATTTTGCAACCTGCCTCTTGCCTCATCCGCGGATTCCATCCGTGCTTTATATTATGTTCTACCAATTCCTCTACACCAACTTTTCAATTACTCTTTCAATTTTCATACACTCTAATCAACCACTCTGCAAGGAGGAACTCTTTAACTTTTCTACTTCTACATCGATATTTTCTTATTGACCCAATCTTTATGACAGTTTCTTATAGCAACACTTCATTCAATTCTGGTCAACATAAGCAAAATAGAACAAAATAAACAAAATTCCAACTTGACAACCGTAACAATAAACTTATATCACCCATTCCATTCAACAAATTAAATTCTCATCATACCATTCATCCATCCACTTATTCCTTCTCACAATGTGTGTCACAAGTTCATTCAACAACAAAAAAAAAAAAAAAAGAAAAAAGAAAAACACAGAGCACGCCCACCTCTTTCTCCTCTTTGGCTACTCCTCCTCGCTCGACGCCATCAAAACCATACCAAACCACACACTATAAAAAATGAAAGAATAAACACAATAAAAGAAAAAACATAAAGCAAATAAAACACAAATAAACCAACCACCCTTCAAAAAGGCACAAACAAACCCACCCAAGCTAAAAAAAAAAAATCAATCATGCACCGCACAAAAAAACCACCCAAAAGAAACAAAAAAAGAAAAAAATACCGCAAGAACTGCAAAATAATTCCGACAGTGACGATAATTAAAAAAACAAAAAAAAAGAAAGAAAAGATCTTTCCTCTTCTTCAACGCCTTCGTCCAGGGGGGTCCGGGCCACATCATCCTCGCCTATTGTCACACTACTCAGGTCCAAGTTTGAGAACAGCTCCTCAGCTCTACGGTTGAACATTTTCTAATCGCTGTCCCAGAACTCGGCCATTTCGTGCTTGTAGAAGTCTGACTGCTGGAAGTTTTCAATCACCTCTGCCTCTGTCCTACCTCCAGCAGTCTTCCTTGATGGGCCCCCCCCCCCCCGACTCTTGACCAGCTAGACTCCTGGCGACAGCGGCGTCCACCACCATCTAAAATTCGGAGGACCCTTTATATTGCTCCACTACTGCGACGCACAGATCAGGGTAGGCCGCCCTCTCAGACGCCGCCCTCGCCCTCTCCTCGTCCAGCTCCCGTTGCAGGGCCCCCCTTTCAGCGGCCGCCGTCGCCCTCTCCTCTTCCGCCCCCCTTTTCAGACTCTCCAGCTCCGCCACTGCCTTCGCCTTCTCTATTTCCCACTCCCTCAGAAGCCTCCCCTTCTCCTCCTCTGCTCTGGCACGCTCCTCCTCCAACTCCTTCAATAGATCCCCAATTCTGGAATCTGCTTCATCCTTTTGCCTGACCAGCTCTTCATTGCTGGTCATGGCCTCCTCATGCCGCTCGACTGCCACGGCGCAGGCCCTTTCAGACTCTTCTAACTTTTTCTGTTCACCAGCCAGTTGGAACTCGAGCAACACGACCCCACGGCGTGTGTCCTCCAGCTCCAACTTGACTGCTGGCAGCTCGGCATGGGCAGTTTTCTAGTTGGCACTGTCCTTCTTCAATTTGGCCAATTGGGCCCTGGCCTCCTCAGCCTTCAACTTGGTGGTCCCTGCCTTCCTAAGGAGGGCCCCTGCCAAGGTAGTTACCTCCATTTGGGCGGAGCATAACCCCCTCAGCAGGTCAGCCTCATTATACCCTGATGCCGCGCGCAGAGCCATCTCCTCCACAATCTTCACCAGGCGGTCTGCCCCCGCCCTGGCTGGGCCTTCTTCTCCCTTCAACCTTCCAGCTACCGCGCGCGCATGGTAGATCGCCGTAGCCAGAAGAACCCCTCCTTCCTGGGGGTCAGGTCTCTTCTGGACCTGTTCCCTTTCGCTCGGCACTGCCTCAGTCGGCCCAGCCTTCACTTGCACTGATGGAGCAATCTCCACAACCTCCACCGTTGGGATGATCTCCACCACCTCTGGGGCGTCCTTGGCCACAGGGACCTCCACCTCAGTTGGGGCCACCTTAGCCCTCTTGGCCCCAGACGCATCTGCGGCTTCCTCTGGGGCACTCCTCTTCTTCTTCTTCTTCTTCTTCTTCTTTTTTAGAGCCTCCACCCCCTTTCTAGCCTGTTCCTTTACAGGGTCTACAGGCGGCGGCCGCGGCTCAAAACTGCTTAAGTCTTTTTCCCCCAACGGCCTTGGGTGCGGTCGGATCCTCTCCCGCACGATCGGTTGAGGCGGACCGTCCCTTTGCACCTCCGTGAACTTCGCGGCCTTGGCCAGAACGGCCCAATCCTCTATCTCCTTAGCTTTTCTCCTCGCCTCCAATTCCGCCCGGCCGAGGTCTCCGCCCTTCGGCTGCGGTCCCAGCCCCGCCTCAAACAGTGCAGACGGTTGGACAAGCTCATCCCATTTGGCCTTCTCTCTCTCTCTCCACTCCTTCACCCTCTTCACCCTCTCTTCCGCCATCGCCCCCAGTCTCGACTCCATCGACCTGGTTGGCACCTTCCAGATAGTGCGCACCCCCATCCCCCCATTAACAGACACGTAGAACCACCGTAGCCGCCACCCCTTGATCGACGTAGGCAGCCCCGCCACCAATCCCCTCCCCATCACTGCCTGTAGGGTGACCCAAGTTTCTTGTTGCCCCAACGCCTTGTAACACAAAAAGAACTCGTCTATCGTCATGGCCTCCCCCCCATTCGCCTTAGGCCACGCACTCGCACAGGCCAGCAGAATCTTCCATGCATTGGGCATCAATTGCCCCGGCGCTACCTCCAGGCGATTCAGCACGTCAACTACCACTTGAGGCATTGTAGGAACCTTGGATGTTTTGAATAAAAGCTGTTTCTTCTTTTCTTTTTCTCGACGTCGTTTTGGTAAGGTTTAATTTCCACCGTTGAATGGATCACTTTAGAGATCACTTGAGGGTTTTCACTCTAGAGGATCCTGGCGCTAAGATCCCTTGGATTGTAAATCCTAGAGTGATCCATCCATATTAAGTCTTACCAAAACGACGTCGTTTTAGTGAGTAATTTGAAAAAAAAGAAAAAAAAAACAAATTGAAGTTCAGTCAGTCTGATAACACATACATACACAGTAAGAGAGAGAAAGAGAGAGAGAGAGTCTCAGATTGAAGCTGTGGTTGAGATTAAGAAACCATATTACATTATCACCAAGTATAAGAATCATATACACAGATTCAAATGGATATTCGATTCCGAAGCTTTTTAACACCTCACAATTTATGGTCTACTTCATCAAGGATTCCAAAACGTCTGATCAAACCCCGTTGTTCTTTAAGGAGGGTCTCCTAACAAAACGATGACGACGACAACAACAACAGAGGTGGGTCTTCTTCACCCTCATCAATTTTGCAATCTAGTCATTTTTTATATTTTTTTGTAGTTTTGATTTTTGAATTTGTATAGATTTTGAAGAAAACCCAAATAGGTTGTGGCTGAAATTCCAACAGAACCACAATGCCTGAGTCGGCTTTATTGACAAAGGAAAGCAAACATTGCATTCAAAGTGATAGAGAAAATATTTCGAGGGTAGAGATTATGAACTCACCAGCTTCACCAAGACTTTCTTGATCGATTTAGCATCTCTCTCTCTCTTTCCTTCTCTATTTCTTGATTGATTCAGATCTTATTTATTTATTTCCAAATCACTCATTAAAACGACGTCATTTTTGTGAAGCTTAATCTCAACCCTCAGATGAATCACTCTAGAACATCACTTTAGGATTTACACTCTAGCACTATGTTTGGATTGAGTGATTCAGAGAGAAAAGAAAAGAAAAGAAAAGAAAAGAAAAGAAATGGAGAGATATGTATTTTTCTTACTTGTTTGGATAATTTAAGTGAAGAGAAATGAAAAGAAATAGAGAGAAACTCATTTCTTTTATAAGCCCCATCTTCAATCTTCCCAAAAGTGGAGGGATTGGGAGAGAAAAGAAACCATTATTTTCATAATATAAATTTTGTCCCTATAAAAATAAAAGAAATAAAATGATTGAAAATATAAAAGGTTATTTTGGTAATATAATATAAAATAATTTTTTTTTCTTTTCTCTTAATGAGATCTAACCAAACAAGAATGAGAGAAATTACAATCATTTCTTTTCTTTTATTTCTTCCTTATCCAAACAAAAATAAAAGAAATCACAATCATTTTTTTTTTCTTTTCTCTTATAATTTCAGTAATCTTTTCTTTTCTTTTCTCTCCTAAGGCCTTGTTTGGCAAGTGGCTATTTTAGTTAAAAAGTCAAAAAGTCACTAAAAAAGTCAAAAAGTCAACAACCCATACCAAAAGGTCAAAGATTCTATTTTCTCTCTACTTTTTACATATCTTTTCGTAAAAAACTAAAAAATTATCCCAAACATATTAATTTTTTTTACATTATATTTTAATCAAAAAATTAAAAAATTACTAAAAAAACTTGTTATCAAACGAGGCCTAAGTTCGCAAACATAATGTAGAGCATCTTAACGCAAGGCGAAGGGAAAGGAAGTTTTTTATTTTTTTATGAAAAATGTTTGGGAGCACTAATTAGTGCTCCCACTAATTAGGTGGGAGTGAGTCCCGCCATTAATGATGTGATGTTTTGGTCTTGGAGTTGTATTTTTTTTTTTTTTTACTTTTTTAATGCATTAGTACTATTAGTGGTAATATTTTTAGTAGGATGAATCATTGTTGTTTTTTTATTTTGAGTGGCAAGGGCTTTTTCAGGCTTTTTTGGCTATTTTAGCCACAAAAAACAAAATAGGCTATTTTAACCATAACAAACAAAACATCACATCCAACCTATAATCATTACATTCTTCTCTCACAAAAAAAGTCAAAAAAGCCAAAAAGCCCTTCCCAAACCAAGCTTTTTAGCCCAGGCTAAAATAGTCAAAAAAGTCAAAAAGCCAACCCACTTCCCAAACGGAGGCTGAACAAAAAATGATGTGATTTTGGGCTCAAATCTCAGCCATCCATTTCTTGTTGTTTTTAATCGCCTACAGAGGATGTGCACTCAAACCGAGAAAACCACCCCGCTATTTTAATGGTACTTGAAGTGAAAACAAAAAAGATGGAAAACAAAAAGAGTCGATATCATGACCAAGCGCAACGCAATCAATGACGCACGAGTATCAATAAATAAAAATTATTTATAGTATTATATATGTGAATATTTACTTGATGTTTAAGATTTTAAATTTTTTTCTCGTTTTACATGATAAATTTTTATATTTTAAAATAAAAAATATTATATTACAACGCAAATAAAATTTGAATCTAAAATTTCAAATTTTATTAAGAATGCACATTTATCATTTAAATAATTTATATTTATAAAACTTACATATTATAATATTAATTTATTTATTATTTATTTTTATTATTACACACCTACTAATATATATGTATATTATTATATAGGTAAGTACTTGATTTGATATTTAATAGTGTGGTGGTTTTCTCTTCTATCACATGACAAATTTTTTTATATATGTAAGTGTATAACTTGATGTCTAATAGTATGGTGATTTTCTCTTCTATTATGTGACAAATTTTATTATCTTAAAATAAAAAAATATTATTAAAAAGCGTGAGTAAGATTTAAACTTAACAAATTTTATTAAGAATAATCTAATTAGACAACATATATATTATGTGTGAGTGATTTTCTGACCACACTGCCCGCTTAGCAACCCAGCTGGAGAGCACCGGCAGAATAGATGGCACCTGACTGACCTGCAATAGAAATATAAGAATCCCACGGTGGTTCGTCCACCCGGGGGCACTCCGACGATCAAGTCAGTATATCTCTTAAAGATAATCAATTATTCAACTCACAAGCTTGAGCCTAAAAAGCATACCTTAGACTCATGGGGGTGCCTCTCTTTTATAGCCAAGATAAACCTAGTCTCAATAGAAGCCTAACTTCTATGGACTCAGGATTACTGCTAATCTTGGACTCCCAGTAAGATTAGGATAAACTCCCTAAGAGTCTTATCTTAATACAAACTGAAGTCTTCTCTCATTCTAGGACTCTTGTCCCTTATCCACTTATCTCGGATTCCGATATCTTCGGAGATAACCTCGGCCTTGCCGAGATCACCTCGGCGTCACGACCAGGACACGTGACACGTCGGCTGACACGTCGGTGTCACCTTACCACGTGTTGGTACTCAGAAAATATATCCCCACAACTGCCCCCTAGGTTCTATTACCTCGTCATTCTGAGGTGATGGAACCTACACTATTCGTTCATCTGTGCCTCTCTGTTTGAGATCAAACTCGCCGACCTCAAAGTTCCCTGGACTTTACTGTCCACTGGTGTCAAGAATCAAGTTTCATGCTTTCCAAGCTGCTTGAAATCGCACCTCCTAGCCGAGGTTCTGGTTCCATTAATTCGTAAACTCCAAGAGCTTTGCAACTGCTCCACTCACACTCTCTGGTGAGTTCCCGATTTCCAGTCATCTATTTGACTCTTGCGATTTTCATATCGGAGTTCATTTCACTTGGTAGGTTCATAAACTCTTTACTTGCTATTAAGCTCAATCTTTCATAACTCTTCTGAATCTGTTTACTTGCCATCTGTTGCCTTCTATTTTTATCTGTCTTCAAGTTTTGAATTGTTTGAATGCCTAGCACTGTTCTTTTCATATCCGCTTTCTGTTGCTAGCATCGTGTTTGGGTCATTACTTTCTTGTTCTTCACATACTTACTTAGTGCCTGTGCACTTGGCTTTATTCTTGAACTTTGTCGTCTTCTTGACTATTTTTCTCTTTTTTCATTCAATCCTCTGGCTTTTTCTCTTTCTAGCTCTTTTGCTTAAATCCGTCATTGTTCCAAGCTTCCAAGCTTCTGCAACTGTCTTCGTTCCTCTCCTTCGGTGAAGCTTACGTCATTCTGTCATCGTCGTCAGACTTCAGCAATTCTCATTCCGGCTTCCCTCTTTCTGGTATGTCACTGTTCCTCCTGGTTTTATTTCTTGTTGCTTTCCAAGAAATTTTGCTTCATTGTTAATCACCATTGTTGTTTTACCCGTTGTTTCCAAATCATCTTCTTGAATACACACTGTTCATACATCTGTTGATTTCTGCCACTGTTCTTAGCTTGACAAACTTGTGCAATCTTTTTGTCTTGATTTCCTGATAGCTTCATCACCATTCTTGATTACGAATTACATTCTTGTTTATGTTTTCTGTGTCTTTTTCCAGATTCTTGCTTTCAATCCTTGCCTTCAAACTCCAAGGTGCCAATCGCCGAGAAGAGCCTTGATCAAACTCTTCGGGAGATCGATGCTGAGCTCGAGGCCGAGAAGGCTGCTGAGAAGTCTTCCCAACTGTCTTCTATATCCTTCCATTGATGCCGAGTAGTTTTGTTTCCTTCTTTTACTCCTTGTACCTTGTACCTTGTACTTTGTTCGTCTTTGTATACTTTTAATCCGGCCGACGTGCCATTTTTGTAGT